GGCGGCTCCGCGCGAGCAGGCTCCTTCGGGGCAGGCTCCTTCAGGGCAGGCTCCTTCGGGGCAGGCTTGCCGCCTTTTCTACCTGCTTTACTTTTCAGGCTTTTCTTCTTTGTACTTTTTCTCACGCAAGTGTTTTGCTTTTTACTCTCCTCTGCTTTGTTCTCACCCTTTGGTACTTCCGGACTATTTTTGGGTTTTTCTGTCTTCTTCTTTTTTGTCACAGGCTCCTCGTCATTAACAGGATCTTGTAAAGAATGGGCTCCGGGTTCCATCTTCCTTTTGCTTTTCTTGGTTTTACAGTTTTTTTCTGAACTGGTTCCTGTGTGCACATCCAGCTCTCTAGTTTCCATTGCTGATTTGCGAGTTCTGGTAGTCACCTGGATCGAAGCATTACTACACGGTTTTTTCTCTTTTGAAACAGCATCTTTTTTCTCCACTTTTACAGGCTTCTCGTTTTTCTTTCCAGCTACATCCCCCTTTATTTTTGTCTGCTCTGTTTCTGTTTTTTCATTGGTATTATTTTTATCAGGCAAGTCAGCCTCTCGCTTTTTGGTTTTCTTCAGTTTCACTTTTGAGACATCCATTGTTTTATTAGGACAAGTAGGATGCTTAGATTTGAAATGATACTGCAGATTACACTTCTTGGAAGCTGCATAATCACATACAGGACAATTGAATTGCCGTGGATTAACATGCAGCTCCACATGTTTTTTGAAGTTACTTCTATCTGCTGTTTTGTAGTCACAGTGTGGGCAGTTAAGAGGTTTAGGCCCGTTGTGAACCTGTCTTGCATGGCGAGTTACTTCATGTTGATTAGAGGCCACATAACTGCACTGATCACATTTAAATGGCTTCTCACCTGAAAGCAAACGAGAGACATTACAGACATATTAAGAAATGAATTCAAGATCTTATTAAAATAAAGAATTGGATAATGTTAACAAAAAAACCCATGAAAACTGTATTGAAAAGACTGTTTCATGCACTTTACATTTACCATATTTATTTGTACATCTTTTCTCCATCCCTTGACACTGATTCTCAAACCAAACAAAGAAATAATTGTCTCACGGTTAGCCATCATCATCTAAAAAGTTTATCAAGCTAGGGCTCACAAGGCTATTGAAGGGCAGACATTTGTTAGGGCACAACAATTATTTGCAAAGTTCAGCTCTGGGTGGTAATTTTGGGGCAAGGGCCCTCAAAGAAAATTATTTAAAATATTTTATGTTTAGTTTAAACACATTTATAATGGAGTGAGTAGAATATAAAATTCATACATTTTAAAGATAAATCTTGAGACTTCAAAGAAATATCTTGCACTCTAAGCTACACTCCCAGACCTTCGGTACAAAAGTTTTAAAACACTGCTTTACCCTCAGGGAGCAAAAGGCTCCCCCTGCACCCCCCGGTTTAAATTTAACCCTTTTATACATCAAGGCAAAAGCTGAGTCAAGCTTCATTCAGCAAATTTTTCTAATGCCAAAGTTGCTATTTTAAAGCAAAAATAGACCCTAGTCAGAAATCTTTCCTTGATTTTTCCCCATCTTCTTTAACAAAATTGACAAAGAAACTAGGTAATTGAGAAGGGGCATACAAATAGATATGGTATGTAAAATAAGCAAACGAAGTCATAATCACACGTACATACAGAACCAGAACAAACCCCACCCCCAAATTAAAGGCATAAGAGTAATGCATTCTACCTGAATACATACCCACTAGATCACACTCTAGTAAATATTACCAAACGGTATCCATACCCAACTGGTCCAATGGAATGCATAGTAGAAAAATGGAAATTGACATTTGTGAACATTCATCTCAAACATTCTCAAATTCATATCAAATCTTAATTTTTTTCATAAAGCAAAGCTACTCAGATATTTTCTAATCACGTAAGGCATACCACCTCCATGTAAATAGTATGCTTTACATGATTAGAAAATGTCTGATGATAAAAAGACTTGATCACAGAAGCAAACGCTTATCAAAGTACGTCAGACTGGACATGTAGCTAAGTGGACAGCTCTTTTCCGTGTTGGTTTACCAAATAAACTTGTACACAGAAGTCTCTACAATGCGATGCACTGTTCCATAGCACCGGCCCTATCTTTATTCCCTCTCCAGCGCCTCACCTCAGTGCAAAGGAGCCTGTGTTTAACATACACAGACACAGGACAGGGAAAGACAGGGGGCATAGCAGTTAAGAACTGCTTTGAAGAAAGAATACCTGGGTGATCAAATATGGGACTATGCAAGCCGTGAGATCTAGAGCAAGGTACCAAAAACCCTCTAAGGCTCATTTCCTCATCTGTAAAATATTCTTTGCTTTTTTAAATTTTTACTTGAATTTATTGGGGTGACTTAATGGTTAATAAAATTATACAGGTTTCAGGTGTGCAATTCTATATGTAAAATATTCTTGAGTGTTGTGAGCTATAAACAATGTAATCCATATAATAAAGCACTTGACATGGGCAGATGGCCAGGCAGTCAATAAGCATTACCTGTAATTCATCACCTTTGGAACAAACCAGCTAATTTTTAGTATTGGGGGGAGGGGGGGTCATGTGTTTAGTTTATCCTGCCTTTCTACATAAACCCTACCTCTGAATAAACAGACATCTGATAAATAGAGTTTATCTCCTTATGAAAATATTTGTGCTAATAAAAGAATTAGAAGGAAAACAGCACCATTTTTTAAAAAAACCCTATTGAGTGAGACAATTTACATAGCGAGCATTAATTAAGGTATGGAAAGATTTAGGAACCTGTTTAAAATTTGATGGCAGCATAATTTACTTGCTCCATTCATCCGCCCACCCCAGTTTTCTTTCTATTGCCATAAAATCCTGCTTAAATTAGACTATCTATTCATCCAATTTTATAGCTGAATATAAATCCTTTTGTCCTATATCAATGATCTGAACTCCCTTTTCCAATTCTAGTAATACAAAGTGGGGCAAAAGTAGGTTTACAGTTGTGAGCACACAAAACACAGAATTTATTCTTGTATTATTATTTATTCATTATATTTTCTACACAAACTGTAAACCTACTTTTGCCCCATCCTGTATTTGCCTGTTTTTCACCTTTACAAATATGTAAGATGTCTATTTTATTCTTCCCAAATTAATTTATAGGCGTCTGGCAAATTCAGAAGGTGAAAGGCTTCTTTATTAGTTTTACCTGCTCTTATCAAGAATAACCCAGCCCTGGTCGGTATGGATCAGTCAGTTGAGCGTCGTTCCATGAACCGAAAGGTTGCTTCCCCAACTCCCCCAAGTCCAGGCATGCCTGGGTTTCAGGTTCAATCTCCGTAAGGGGCATGCAGGAGGCAGCCGATCAATGTTCCTCTCCCTCTCCCTTCCTCTCTCTCAAAATCAATAAAAATATATTTTTTAAAAATAAAAGTACAGTTGTAACCCAATTAAAAAAATAATAATCCAGAAAGAAAAGCAAGGAAAACTTCTAATTAAAGAGTAACAGGAGCATACAATTGATTACTACTCAGTAATAAAAACAAAGTTCTGACCAAAGAATATGGGATGAATCTCAAAAACATTTTATAAAAGAATGTTCTTTCTGATAGGAGAAGTCAGAGAACTGTTTGAGGGGAGACTATGGGAGTATTGACTGGAAGCGGTAATGAGGTAACTTTTCTGAAGGTGGTAGAAATCTTCCACATCTTCATCTGGGTGGTAGTCAATAGGTGAAAACATACATAAGGTCACTGAACTATATACTTAAGCTGTGTGCATCTTCACATGTGTAAATTAAATGTCAATAAAATACTGTTTAAAAAGTTATTCTAGAATTTACCAAGAGTCTAAAACCCTATCTTTCAAATAAGTCTAGCTATTAAAATAACACCTCCATACTAATCATCAAATACTTAATGAAAGGAAAATAAACTTATTTTTGATAAATAATTTTCTATCTTAAAGAGTAATAAATGGAGGTGGTAATTGGTAAGTTTTTAATTGCCTTTAAAAAATCCATTATGCTCATAATTGGAAGATATTAAAGACGAGCTCTTATGCTAGCAGGATTGGGAACTAAACAAACACAAACTGAATGTATTTCATCCAATAATATTTCATTCAGGATGAAATGGAGGTATCTCCATTGAGAGTAGGAAAGGGAGAGCTGAGGATATCAGTGTCTCTAGGACTACACAGGTGAGAATACTCTAACAACATTAGGTAGAAACATCAATAAAATAGAGAATAACACCAGATTAGGTTATTGTGTCTGTATTTTTACCAATACTCAGTTCTCCTTTTCACCAAACTAACATTCTGGTCCCTTCCTTATTTGGCCTGAAGTCCTACCCTGTGGATGAAAGTGCTCCAAGTAAATGGCCAATGTGGTTTTGCTTCACAAACCAATCTCGTCAGCTTAGCTAAAATGTACCAACTCACCAAAGTCTAATCTCTTCCAGAAATAATAGATTGAGCACACACTTCTTGTCTGTAAAATACATTCACATGAACAAGGAACAAAAATGCCAAGATGACCTGTAAAGATCAGACTCCATTCCATAGGGTAGAGAAGATCACACCCGTGATATTCACTCCATACAACCCAGTCAAATATACTGCCTACTCAATTTGACCGAATTTAGCTTTACTTTATTGCAAGTGTTATCAGTAACATCTATTAAAAGTATTAAAATATAGTACCTGCTGAAAATAATTCAGCACTCACACACAAAATAGACTAACCATGTTTGTTTCCTGTTTGCGACTCAAACTGTCTGTCAGCATCCAATAAAAGACAATGGCTCTGCTCTTTCAATACACCCTGGTTCCAATTTCATTATGAAGTGGCTTCTTCAGTCATTCTCTGAGCCATACTGTTCTTTTAACACTGTTGATAACTAAAAACAGGAGGGCGGGGAGTCCAAGGCCAAATGCTAGCTCTTCTAATTTGGAGGAAGACAGCCTTACATGAAGTACTTGTCTTCTCTAAACCTGCGACCTCACTTACAAACTGGGATTAAGTATTTTTAGGACTGAAAGTGACCCTGCCTGCATGGAATAAATACATAGTAGCTATTACTCATTATTAACAGGCTTTTAAAAGACTTGCCGTACTATTAAACTGCAACTAAAAATCATCTTTAAAATATAGCAAAGAAAATCCAAAAGACAACTGTTAGCACACTCAAAATTGTTCGGGCAAAGATTATTGACTAATGTAAAACAACACAGATAAATACTGTGGTGTTTTATAACTTCAGTGAAGATATAAGTACTTTGTCATTCTAATCCAGTGACCCTGCAACACTAATAAGGGTAAACCAGATATGACTTCAAATAAAACAACATGAAATATCAAGCACTTAGATTTACTTTCCAGTATACACATAATACAAGACACAGGGACAGTGGGAAAAATAAATGACACCATGAAAAAGCTTTCAAGACAGAAAAATCCAGAAGGGGGGCATTCCACAAGAAAAATGACCACATTTCTAATCAATGCCTTAGTTTCCACATTTGTAAAATGGAAGTAGAACTTACACATCGTATGATAGTTATGAAGACTAAAATGAATTAAGTCACATAAAGTTCTTAAATGTTTTATTTAAGGGACTAGAGATTAGCTATCAGCAGAACATATGTCTACCCTCAACAAAGCTTGAGATACCATCCAAGTTACCCTCAGAAAATGAAACCAAGAAGCACTGAAAAGTAACAAAACCAGGTTCTGGTTAAGTGACCCAACTCAATAGCTTTAGAGATTTAGAAGATACACTCAAACTATATGTTAACATGACAAGCATGTAGGGTCAAGAAAGGCTAGCAAGCATTCTATATGATCCCTTCATAACTACTCAAATCAGAATCTGTACTATAATCAGTCTTACTCATCACTGACTTAAGACAGCTATATTCAGTAACAATAATCTGGTAGTCACATTACAAAGGTAAAAACAGGTAAAATTAAATCTACTATTTACTTAACCCAACATATACAATATTATGTCAACATGTAATCAATATTTTAAAAATAGATTCTTTACATTTTCTTCAGTTTGAATTTCAGTATTTTATACAACTCAATTACAACCAACCACATTTCACAAGCTCAAAAACCACATGTGGCTAGTGGCTACCTGACTGGACACAGATTTAAGGTAACTGTTAACTTAAGGGAGATGGATCTACATAGATGTTTGTAAACAGCAAGCTTTTATTTAGCATAGTTTGCCCACAGGGGTACATATACCTATGTTCTAAATCTGGAAGGAGACATGGAAGTTCGCTAAGGGTCAATCAGAGACAAAATGAAATAGCAATCCATTCATAAGGCCACCTATGCTAATATTTAATTTTTAACTTGGCCCCCTTGATAATGGCGAACAATTGTGGTTGGTGATCCTGATTTTTTTAGTGGAGTACATGAATATCCTACTTGTTACAGTCTTAAATTTTATCTATTATAGGCTAATAAGTTAGTATCTCAGATTATATATAATTCTTTAAAGTTTGGGTTTTGTATATCAGTCCACAGAGAAGCCCTATCAACTTTCAAGAGAACAAATCCAAATTTCAAGACCTGAGAAGCTAACAAGGAATCCCTGGAGCCTGGCAACCACACACTATGAAACTTGGTGTCATATTGTGTTAAAGAAGGAGTGTGAGAAGGTAGTAGTTGTTCAAAAAGGATTAACCAGCCTTAGTCTATGGTATTAGTTCAATTTTTATTAGTGTCATGGAACTTAATGAAGAGCTAAAGAAAAGTAAGGACCCTCCTCCCAGAAAAGTGCACACACATTTACATTTACAGGAGGTTCCACCTATGGACTCATTAAGAATCTCCATTTAAATACAGCTCCACATTAAAAGAATACTGATTTTTACCTCTAATTTCTAAATTATAAAAATATAATCATAAATAATGACCCAGTTCTAGGTCTAGAACTTCCTTATAATGGTAGTTTACTAAAAATGACAGAAAAGTTCCCATTTCTTACCAACCTGAATGAGTACGCATATGTCTAGTTAGATGAGTCTTCTGAGAACTTGAGTAAGGGCAAAGTTCACATTTATATGGTCGTTCTCCTGCAAAAATATAATTAGTGTTAAAATATGATAAAATAAGGCAAATACAATTCTCACTAACATTATATACTGTAATCGGTACTGAATATTTTATGAAAGATTTTTTTCCTATTCCTGGCAGTCAATTTTTTATAAATGTATTAAAAATGTAAGTGATTTCATTCAGAATTTATATAATTATATCATTTCAACTGCTGACACTATCGTTGGCTTTCTGAATTCTACAGCCCTTTTAATTTTCACAGAAATGCTACATTACATTAAACTTTAGAAATGATTTTTAGAGAGGAAGGGAGGGACACACTGATTTGTTGTTCTATTTATTTATGCATTCATTGGTGGATTCTTGTATGTGTCCTAACCAGCATATGAGGATGATGCTCTAACCAACTGAGCAACCCGGCCAGGGCTAAGTTAAAAATTAAGAATTGAGAAAAAATCTTGATAAGGCATCGAGGAGCATTTAAACAAAAAATTAGAATTATCTTTAAGAGAAACTTACCCCAATTTTTTGATGCTATGGCTTGGGGAACTTTTTTAACCCTTGTGAAAATGATAAATCTACTATTTGAAATTGTTAGCTTAAAGCAAGAATGCTTTTGACTCAGGATTTTGTTGTTTAAACTAAAAAATTTCCAATGGCGCCCGGCCGGGTGTGGCTCAGTGATTGAGCATTGACCTAGGAACCAGGTGATCATGGTTCAATTCCCAGTCAGGGCACATGCCTGGGTTGCGGGCTCGATCCCCAGCCGGGGGCATGCAGGAGGTAGCCAATCAGTGACTCTCTCATCATTGATGTTTCTATCTCTTTCTCTCCCTCTCCCTTCCTCTCTGAAATCAATAAAGATATATTTAAAAAAGAAAAGAAATTATATGGCAATTAAAGGATAACAAATACTGTATGTACAACATGAATGAACCCTGAAAACATCATGCTAAGGGGAAAAAGGTAGTCACACCGGACCACATATTGAATAATTCCATATACAGGTGTCCCCAAAAATCGTATACATACTTTTAACAGCTGATTGCTCAATTCTGAAAATTAAATGTATTTAAAGAAACACTGCCTTTATAATTATTCAGTGTGTACACATTTTGGGGGAACATCCTATATATGAAATCTTCACAGCAAGCCAATCCACAGTGAATTGTATGGTATGTAAATTCTACCCCGCCTTAGCTGGTTTGGCTCAGTGGTTAGAGCGTCAGCCTGAGGACTGAAGGGTCCCAGGTTCAATTCAGGCCAAGGGCATGTACCTCAGTTGCAGGCTCAATTCCCAGCTCTGGCTGGGGCTCATGCGGGAGGCAACCAATCGATGTCTCTCACATTAATGTTTCTCTTTCTCTCTCTCTCTGAAAAGCAATGGAAAAAAATATCCTTGAGGATTAAAAAAAATTGTATCTCATTTAATGTTATTTTAAAAAGTTAATGAAATAAAAATTATATCCTATTATAGATTAACATGAAGAATCAATAGGGGATAATTTACTTTTAAATTCTTTGTAACAGGATAGACTGCTTCTATCTGTGCAATTCTATACTATAGGCACAATCTACGTAACAGTGGTTTTTCAGTCACACAATCTTAAAAGTAGAATTTGTGTCCCTGATCAGGTAGCTTAGTTGGTTAGAGCGTCGCCCCAATACACCAAGATTGCTGGTTCGTTCCAGGTCAGGGAATGTACAAGAATCAATCAATGAATGCATAGGTGCGGAGAACTAATGTCTCTTCTCCTTCCTTTCTCTCGAAAAAATCAATAAATAGAAAATAAAAAATAAAATAGAATTTGTGAACTGGTTAAATATCCAAGCCACAAAATTAAAAATCTTGATTTAAGACTCAAATGAAAACAATCCTCAACCCCCAGCAGGCTAAGAGATTAGGAATTTTGAATCTCTGTAGTATGTGACCTTGGGCACAGCACTTCAGACTTTTAAACCTGGAGTTTTCCTCTCAGTAAGTAAACAAAAGCTAAGGTAGAGCATACCAGCTATAGTAATGGATTGTTCTGAAGATTAGCATAGAATAGAAGATAGCACTGATCACTCAATGAAAGAAACCCACTGACTCTGGAAACAAGGCTACCTAATGTGAAATGAGAAATAAGTGATTCTGCTATCATTTCTTATGTCTACTCTTCAGCACTAGAAGAATTTATTTTTCTATAAATACAATTTTTAGAACCATACATTTAATACCTGACTCTCAGAATTTACATAATCAAATTATCCTTCAAATTATACACTACCAAATTGGTTTTTTAAAGATCACAAATAAGGTAATAGGGAAAAATCTTTTTTAAAAACATAAAGACCAAATAGGTTTAACAAAATGTGAAATGAGATAAATATTTTTCCAATTGTCTTCATTTTCTTTTTTCCTTCCAAAAATGTTCTAAAACAACAATTTAGATTGTTGAAAACATTTTGAATTTTGTTAACCAGTGTCACCCCAATAAATTCAATAAAAGCAAATAAAAAAGAACATTTTTAACCCGACCTAGCGTGGCTTAGCGGATGAGCATAGACCTAGGATCCAGGAGATGGCGGTTCGATTCCCAGTCAGGGCACATGCCCAGGTTGTGGGCTCAAGGTCTCAGGCAGCCAATCAATGATGACTCTCTCATCATTGATGTTTCTCTCTCTCTTCCTCTCCCTTCCTCTCTCTGAAATCAATAAAGATATATTGAAAAAAAATTTCTAAAAAGGATACTATTTTTTAAAAAAAAAAAGAACATTTTCAGCTTTGGGGAAAAAACTTACCAACAGTTTTGAAATTATCAAACTAAAACTGACCAAAAAATAATAATTTAATAGACAAAGGCACCGGGGTATTGGATTATTCTCTACGTTGGCTTGCATGGTGGTTATGAGTATATATATTTGTAAAACTTCATCAAGGTGTACACATAAAAATCATGCACCTTACCACATGTTGTTATAGTTACTACTTGAAATCTCTACATGATAGCCAATTCTAAATTAGCTAAACCCCAAGGTTTTCAAAAACTGTTAAATGAATTACTTATTACAGATGAAGTATATATGGTATTTGGGATTGGTCTTAAGATATTATAGGTGAGGTTCATTCAGTCTTAGCAATTTGTTTAACTCAAACAGTTAGTGATTAATGGGGGAGGATTCCCAAGTAACTTGTTTCCTATGCTATGAATTTTTGTAATGTCTGAACTTCTTTAGTTTTGAAATGTAATGGTTTCAAAGCATAGAGACACTCATTCATAGGTTACAACAAATTCCAAAGGGATTACAAATTCTTTTATTTGACTAGATTTTAAAACTTTACATGCAGAAGCCATCTGCTAAAGCTTAGAAATCTTGCTGCAGACTTCCTTCATTTAATGGAATTTCACCTCCAAGTTTCAAGTCTACCACTTAAGCAAAGCAGTATCAATTTACCTCCCCCACAGTGTCCCACTTTACCTAGGATTCAGTTCCACAGAGCAGCAACTCCTGCAAAAGGGACCTTAACTAAACAGCATCCCATAGCCCCTTTTCACTTGTGACCCAAGAGCACAGTACGCTTAATTACTCTATCCATTTTTTTCAGACCAGTAATCAGACCTCAAAAGTACCAACCCTTACCAGGAAAATGTAAATTAAAATAACTACAAGAGTTGAAAACATTTCTTTGGAAAAAATGAGACCCCTAATTACAAAAATTTGAAAGTAAATTTAAAAGCCAGTAATTAAGAGGCATTGAGAAGAAATGGGGAGCAGCCAGTGATAGGAGTTTCTTTTTGGGGTTAAGATGTCCTAAAATTGATAGTAGTGATGACTGCACAAAACTGTGAATAACTATATATACTTTTAATTGAATTTACTGGCATGACATTGGTTAATAAAATTGTATGTTTCAGGTGTACAATTCTTTAATACATCAACTGTGTTGTGTTTATCCCCCCAAGTCAAGTCTCCTTCCATCACCATTTGTCCCCCCTATACCTTCTTCTACCTCCCCACCCTCACCACCATTCTTCCCATCTGGTAATCAGCATGCTCTGTTCTCTATGAGTCTGTTTCTATTTTGTTAGTTTATTTTGTTCATTAGATTCCACATATGAGTGAAACCATTTCATATAGCATAATGCTCTCCAGCACTATGAATATATTAAAACCACTGAACTGTAACTTTAAATGGGTGAACTGTATGGTAGTAGAATATATCTCAATAAAGCTATTATTTTAAAAAATGAATTGCAGCCCGGCCAGGCGTGGCTCAGCGGTTGAGCGTCGACCTAGGATTCAGGCAATCGGGGTTCCATTCCCAGTCAGGGCACATGTCCGGGTTGCAGGCTCGCGCCAATCAATGACTCTCTCATCATTGATGTTTCTCTCTCTCTCTCTCCCTCTCCTTTCCTCTCTCTGAAATCAATAAAGATATATTTTTTAAAAATTAAAAGTAAACTGAATTGCAAAATTTGACAAAATATTCTTAACTGTTGGGTATAGAATGATGAGTACATGCTGGCGCACTGTAGCATTCTCTTTACTTTTGAGATGTTTGCAATTGTCCATATTTTTAAGATTGTTCCATTTTTTTTTTTTTTGAAAGAGCACACTTATAAATTAGAAAAGTCCTCTTACCTGTATGAATTCAAATACGCTGAACATTATTTTTTGTCAGAAAAACAGTTGCATTTCCCACATGTGGTTGCTTTCTTAGGAAAATGATTTAGGTGATAATCCCACCAATCCCTTAAAAAACTAACTTCTCACCCAGCTAGCATGGCTCAGTGGTCGAGCTTCCACCTATAAACCAGGAGGTCACAGTTCGATTCCTGGTCAGGTCACAAGCCTGGGTTACAGGCTCAATCCAGTGAAGGACATGAAGGAGGCAGTCGATCAAGGACTCTCATCATTTATGTTTCTATCTCTCTCCCTTCTCCCTTCCTCTGAAATCAATAAAAACGTACTAAAAAAAAACAAACACCTAGCTTCTCACATTTCAGTGTTTTGGGGACAGGTTAAGTTGTTCCATTTAGAAGCTCAATACCCCAAGTGAAATGTTTTAAATAGTTTGAGGCTGTGTTAAATGAGGTTATGCAAGGGTTATTTTTTTCCCTTTTTGTCAAAGCCTAAAGTCCTTTGGGAAACTACTGTATGCATCTTAGATGTATTCACTGCCAACTAAATACATCTTCTAACAAAACAGTAGTCTAATCTGGCTAAATGGCCTATCCCAAGTTGTTAGAATATGTATTTTAGAAAAAACATTGATAAGATTTCTCTTGGCTATTCTTCTATATACCACTCAATACTTGACTTGAGTTCCTTCAGTGGACCCTTTAATCCTATAGTAATAGTTTCCTCCATGGAGAAGCTGGGGCACATAGAGAATAACATGCTCAAGGTCACAAAGACAGCAAATAATGGAATCAGGGTGTGAACCCAGGGCCTCCCCCCTTTTTTTTTGCATTATCATTAACTACTCGCTCAATTAACTATCAGAAGTGAGTTGAACTTATGGACTGCAAAGGTCCTCTTACCTGTATGAGTTCGAACATGCTGAACATAATTGTTTTTTCTGTCTGAAAAATAGTTGCATTTTCCACATGTGTATACTTTCCTTGGAAAATGGTTTCTTAAGTGTTTTCTCCAGTGATATTCGCTTACTGTGGTGTACGTGCAAATGATGCACTTGTAGACTCGCTCATTATCACCAGCTCTCGTGTGGTGTTTCAAGTGAGCAGTATAGTGATCATATCGATTGGTATTGTAGCCACAGCGGTCACAGCGAATGGGGCCTTTGGAGAAATCTCCCTCTTCAGCAGTGTTAGAGCCAGATTCCCTAGCTTTTGCTTGCTTCTCTGCACTTTCTTCTACAAAAAACTTCTTGGCACTATGAACTCTGATGTGATGCACAAACTGTTCTTCAGATTCTGCTTCATACTGGCATGGCTTACAACGGAAGGGTTTGGTCTTCAAGTTCTTGCATTTGTCCTCTGCTCCAGGTGTTTCAGGAGGAAGGTCTTTATTGGAGCTGTAAATTTCTGGGGCAGCTGATACCTCAAACACAGGCTGTGGTTCTGCAACAGTGAGTTCCAAACTTTCCAGTTCCATGTTTTCCAGTCCATTGGGTTCACCTTTTATTTCAGGAGACTCCTCAAGTCCTTCTCCATCACTATCTGAAAAGTTGTTATCCCCAACAGGCATCAATTCTGCCATCTGTCTTTCTTCGCCAACTAGGTAATCGCAGCAGCTGCCATTTACTTCCCCAGTTAAGGCTACATTTGCCAACATGATGAGCTGAGGAGCTGCCAATTCAGCTTTGGAGAGGTCATGTAAGTCATACATATCGTTAGGTAAGGCCATGCCAATGTTGCCACTGCCGGTGAACAGCCCTCCTCCTCCAGAAGACTGCCCCATTACCTGGGTGGCCATAACTGTATTCTGAATTCAAAACAGAACAAAAAACACAAACGCACCAGTTTAAACACAACTTTTACTGGTCTAAAACCAAAGCATCACTATAATTCTTCATAACTTTTAGAAAATACATTTTCCAACATAATCTCTAACTCAATCAACATTAACTATTAAAAAATAAGCCTTTAAAATCTTTTTGTAATTTTGAATTCTCCACTGCATCACCAAAAAAATTTCTATTACCCTTCTGAAAAATTCTATCAATTGTTTGACATAACTCATCCATCAACTAGGTCTACCATTGACAAGCACTTAGTTTCTCTGGTGCAAAAACAAAACTGTAGCCTTCATTTTTTTTTTTCCTTCATTTTTAATATTAAGTATTAAAGTTACTTTTAAAATTTAATACATGATAGTAAACAGCTAGCCTTCCAATTCCCCCTTCAACGTTTACTGGTCTGAATCAGAAAAGTGGGAAATCCAGAATCCAGGCAAACATGTCTAGAAAGTAGAAGCCTGTAATAAATTGGTCAACTGAACTGAAATTCACATTACCTCAACTAACTCCAGAAGAGTAAACTACAGTGAAAAAGTACTACTTAAGGTTTGGGGAGGGTTTTTTTTTTTTTGTTAATTTGAACTGTTTAAAGGGGGAAAAAATTACGGACCTTTTTTCCTGTGGAAAAGGAAGTTTGGTGTACTCAAAACTTCACAAATGAAACTAAAGAACTTTTCAAACCACCTAATAAAATAATCATACAACTCAACTCGACAATCAGCAACTTTCTTGCATTGTTTGACTTGGCCTACTTGCCTAGTGGAAGCCATTACAAGATCACCTTCTTCAAAATATGTTGGGCTTTTAAATCGTCCTAACCAGGTTCCTTTCCAAAGGTACTATTCTCAAAGTAGGTGTTCTCTTGCAAATTAGAAAAGGCAAAATAAGTGGCAAGAACTAAGAAAGTTTAACCCAAAATACAAAAAGTACGCCGTTTCACCAAAGTTCATGAACACAAACCGGTTGAGTTATACGTACCAACAAAAGTTGGAATCAAATGCCATCACAGAAAACAAACCGAGGGCAAACGCTGTCCCAAGGAAGTCCGGGCTACTCGGTAATTTACCCAAACATCGACTTTCCTTAAGAGTCCCCCAAACCCTACCTCCCATCCCTAAAGGAATTTTAACGTTTGTCAGAAGCCCATCCCGGCGAAGCCCCGAAGCCCAGCGAGCTGCAGGGATTCCTACGTGCGGCTGCCACCAGCGCTGCCTCGGCGGCGGCATTCCTGGCTGAAATAGGCATTCGGCCATTTTCTCAAAATACCAAACACAAAGCAGCTCTTTGCAAACTCGGGCGCTCTCGCTTCCTCTCGGCTCGCCCCGCTCGCTGCCCACATTTACACGCCAGCTCGCGGGAGCTGCCCCGACGCTCGTCCCGAAGCCTTTCCTGCGCTCCCCAACGCTAAAAGGGGCCGGGGGCCAACTCGGGGCGCCGCTGGGCCAAGCCAAGCCTCCCCCAGGCCACCCCCTCCTCCGGCTCTCGGACCCGCACTGGGGAGGGGAAGGGAGGGGGGGAAGTTACCGCGTCGCCGGCGTCGCGGCTCCTCTCAAGTCCCCAGCGCTCG